CTTGCTTGCGTAAGGACGCAGACATGGACTACTGGCCCACCATTATGGACCCCATTCCTAATATCCTCGCCTTAATTGATGACGTGGCACCCTGTCTTATTATACGCCAGTTTTCATGCAACTCCATGGGCCAACCAAAATCCGAGAAGGGCAAAACCAATTTAAATAAAGTCGCCATCCCACCACCGCCGTTCCAGATCTCGATTACTCTTTTACCACCGCCGTCCATGGATCCACCTTCACTTACCTCTGGTGGAAAGCTGCGCCTCATGTGCAGTTACGGCGGCCACATAATCCCACGGCCGCATTCCAAGTCCCTCTGCTATTTAGGCGGTGAAACTCGCATCGTTTCCGTTTCCGCCTCCACCGCTCTCTCCGTCTCCTCCCTCATTGCCCACCTCGCCTCCACCCTTCACATCACCACGTCGTTTACGGTTAAGTATCAGCTTCCTCATCACGACCTCGATGCCCTCATCTCTATTGCTAACGAGGATGATCTCCAAATCATGCTAGAGGAACTCGAAAGCCTTTCTGCCTCGCCCGATCCTTCTCGCATCCGGTTGTTCCTCTTCCCCATCAAACCTACTTCGCTGGTTTTCACTCAGTCCAGTCTGCTGGAGGTTGAACAGCCAAGGGAGGGGAGCGGAGGCGGATTTGGCTTGGGGCTGTACGGTGCAGAGTTGATTCGGACAGAGTTGAGTCAGGTCCAGTCGAGTCGAAGCGGGTTGAATCACCCGAAGACAGAGAGTTGGTTTGTTGATGCGTTGAGAAGTGCGAAGATAGTGCAGAAGGGAGAGAGTGGGGTGGCAGGCTTTGGAGCAGAGTCTGGGGGGAGTGGCCAGAGTGAAGGGAACGGTCTCTGCGGACAGGAGTCTATTGCATTGGAGACGAGTTCTTCTTTTGGCTCGACATCCTCTTCAGTTTCCTTGTCTAACTTGCCGCCAATCAAGAATCATGGAGAGGATAATTTGGGCCAGTTCCGGGATTGCAAAACCAAATTGCCCTCATCAGAATCATCAATTGCCAGGTATTCTTCATTATTTTTGTCTAATTTTTGGGTATTATTACTTTTGCTTACCATTCCTTTTAACTTGCCCATGAGAAGATGGATTAGAAAGATGGCAAAGAATATCTAAAATGGTATTTTAAGATTTTTTTTTAGAGAATACTACGAACTTTTGATGGTAGAAAGGTAAGTTAACAATTTGTTTCAACTTATAGCCTGCCAGTTGTGTTAGGGAGAGTTCTGAAGTTTAATAGTCAACTTCAACATTTGACAATTTTGCTCTTTCTTTTGCCTACAATGTTTCCATGGAGCTGGTAGGATTAAGAGCAGGACGTAATGTAGTTTTTTTTTTTTTGTGATGTAATCATGGGTGTTCTTATGTGATTGTTTGTGATCTTTCATTTTTTTTTTCCCTTGAACTGCAGTGATAGCAAATGTGCAAGCAGCATTTCTTGTGTGCAGAGTGGAACTTGTCAAGACCCTTTTGTCCCAATTTCTGCAATGGAGAGTAAGATATCTGTCAACCCATATGAATCAGACAGTAAAATTTATGATCTTTTCTCTGGGATCCAGATGCATACATCAGGACAAGTTTCCGAGTATCCCACAAATCCTAATTTGAATCTACCGCAGCAACGAAATGTACAAATTATTCATGCCGGTAGTCATCCTGTGTCCCACAACCCACCTGGCTTACTGCCAGTTGCATCATACATTCCAGTGTATCAACCAATGCTCCAGCAGCAACAGCCCAATTATCATTCCAATCAACCTTTCCCCTTGTACCATTTGCCTGGCACACAGACTCAGCAATACAATTATGCAGTGCAATGTGGACTGGTTCATACACCAACATTTGCCACTGGTCAGCCCCAAATGCATCTAAATCCTTCAGGGGTCCCTCCCCCATTGGTTTTGAAGGAGGTTGGAGTTGCATCTGTGCCTGTACCTGAGTTAACCTCACAAGTATACAGAAATGCACCTACAGCAAACCAAGTAGTTCATGTAAACTATAATAAGACTGAGCAGGATCCTATTGCTTCTCAATTTCATCACCAGCCTCAATCATTTGCAGGTGCTGTTGGTGAGACAACAAAGTACAATAATGAGCCTGATGATGACCCTGCTCACATCCAAATATACAAATCCCAGCCCCCGCCACCAACATTGCCATCTCAGTATCAAACCATGACCAAAGCCACTACAGCACTGCTATCTGAGGCCTTGGCACAGTTGCATACCAACGACCCTAGGCAATAGATCAGAACATCAAATCCACAATGAGTACTGCTGAAGGGAAACAACTTTTGTGGTGGTGACTGGTAATTTTATTTTTTTGTCCATTTGTTATACAAGCAGATAACTTGGTCTTCCACGTTTACCCTTGTTTGCCCTTTTACGTCTTAGCCTATTTTTGTTGACATCCAATTTGTTTTCTTTCTTTCCTTCTTTTGGCTTGTTTATCTGTCTTTCAAATGTGCTTGAAAGTTGAGATGATAATGTAGAAGTTCAAAAGATTTGTTATATGCTTGCTTGAAGCATCAGTGCTTCAGCTAATGTAATGTTAAATGTTATCACTATCAATGTATCAGTTTTGTTTAATGTAATACAAGTAAACTTTTGTCCTCTAACTTACGATTTCTTCATGGATGAGGATACATGTATCTGTTTGCTGAGAGACAGCTTTTTAATGTAATCTATGTACAGAGTGGATGCTATTGCTATGCATTTTGAGTATGTAATTTCTCTAAAATTATCAAAATTTGGCATTGAAGATAAAGGAACAAGAACTGGTCTCTTCAAAATGTCCCCCAATTCTGCTGGATTTTTTGGGTCCAAATTTCTGCTGTATTAGAAGCACATTTTTTCACCTTATCTGATGTGAGCTTCTTCTAGATATGCTAATGTTGTTGCAGTACAGGTATGAGGGTGCAAGGTTGTTGTGGAGCTCTTACACAAGGTACTGTTATAATCATTTTTTATCCCCTCTAAACTTGCTTTAAGCACTAATGTATCAGTATGCTCTCCAAGAGTTAAAGATTAGAAGTATCATCTTCGTATAAATATTACAGTGACCATTCACTTTTTATTATACATACAAGCAGGCCTTGACATTGACATGGAGGTAGCTCATTCTGGGGTTATACTTTATAAAACACTTTTGATTTCTTACAAAATATTGAATTTAACAATTTAAAATCCATGCTAAGATAAAAAAAATATATATCTGTGCTGTTCTCTAATCATTTGTAAATGTGATAAAGCCTCATTGATCATTCAGCTTTCTGAGAATTGTGAAGCTGGAACTCTTGTTGCCATTTAGAGGGACATATCTATTACATGATAGGTGTTCCAATGCATTTCCGGTGTGAAATAGTCATTCTAGAAATTTTATCTTTAGTTGAACCCACAGGTTCCAGTTCTTAAAATTTATAGGAACGTAGAAAGGTTGATCTTTTTGTCATTTATTGCTTCTTTGCTTATGGTACTTGCCAGTTTCTATAGGATATTAAGGTGAGAGGAAGCTCTTGGATATGCTTTCTGCTAAGCAATTTTAATCAGTGATCTTTTATCTGGTCGGTATCTCTTTATAAATATTACTTCAATTTAGTACTATAGACTGTTCTGGTCATGATACCAATTGCACAATTTTATGTTCCTAGAACTGTTTAATGCGTACTGTAGGGCAGTTCATTGTGCATGCTTTAACTTTTGTTTTGAATAATAATTTTGTAGTGCCATGCCATTGCCCAAAATATAGCATAAATCACAGTTTGAACCCCTTTGGGGATAAAACCCTGAACGTGATTCATTTGTGGTTGATGTTTACTAATTATTATTATTTTTTTTTTTTATGCTTTTCTTGGATGTTAAGATTTGTATAACTGGCAAGAAATCATGATGGGCGAAGTTTTAAAGATTTTCATGTTATTTCAAGTGGAAAGAAGCAAGTTCTGAAAACAATAGAAACCAACAGACAAATACACAAAGTTTAAACATCTTATTCTGATTTACATACTAGAGAATTCATTGGGAGCAATGAATTCATGTGTGTAAATTCTACCCTATGAAAAATTAAAAAGAATGCAGTACTGCTTGATGGTGCCACTAATATCAGATTTTGAAGTTGAATGAATGTCCTTAAGTGTTCTGCCTGTTACTTGTTCTCTTAACTGGATAAGCTCAGTTTTTCCAAGCTATCACTTAAATTCCTCATTGTAGGTCTCCTGTCTGGACTTTTGTGAATGCAGGCTAGTGCAATTTTCAGTGTGGCAGCTATAGAGTTTTCCATGCTCCAGTCATGTGCTAGAAATGGATCCACAATGCAAGAGAGTGGCTTCCTTTCCTCCATGCTGAGTTGAATCCACAGAACTAGATCCGTCTCTGAAGAACCTATCTGACCGGTTGGTGGCTTACCAGAAATCATTTCCAGTAAAATCACTCCAAAGGAGTAAATATCCCACTTCTGTGATGGCTTTGTGGCTTTTGAGGCTTCAGGAGCTTGATAGTAACACGAATTCGCGGAAGAATTTATTGTTGTAAAGCTATAAGGAGAATTCTGTGGTGGTGTTCTGCTTGTCATCTGCTCCCCTTGAAATGCCGGTGAATCTTCAATTATGTTAGCGAGGCGGGCAAGTCCAAAGTCAGATATGTGAGGCTCCATGTTTTCTCCGAGAATTATATTGCTGGGCTTTAAATTTCCATGGACATATCTTTTGGGGCTGAATTCATGTAGAAAAGCCAAGCCTTTTGCTATTCCTTTCATGATCTGTACACGAACAGGCCATGAAAGAGGTTTAAACGGTACAGTTCCTGCTTTCCCTGGTCACAATTTTTGAAAATTGAAATGATTAGGATGACATTGAATTCCATAGCATATTTATCCAAATGTCTCGATATTAAAAAGATGTGAAAAAGAATAGAAACATTGGAAATATAG